TATATCTGGGTATCATTTTTATAACGACTAAGGATTTTTCTAAAATGAGAAATAATTAAATCATGATTAGTGGTGTTTTTATCAAATGATGTAAGTTCAAAGTTATATGATGGCATGTTTTATATCCATGGTATAATTACGGATTATGATCACATGCGTTTGGAAGACATTCCATACATGGACAGACAAGGTATAACAATATCAAACAGATGCAAATGGTGTATTATTCTTTTATAGAAAGGTTTAGCAGAACGGTAATTTGCATTGAGGTTTGGGAAATTATCAGTCAAAGTATTTCTTGCATTATCCTAAATTTTTGTTGCATACGTTAGACTTAGGTTGTAAGCTCTTCTATCATTTAACGACAATTCATTTGCTTCGCAAAGTAAACTTTTAATCGGTAATGTACAAAAGGCCCCCAGACATATTCTGAGTGCTGTGTTGTGAATAGTGTCGAGCTTTTTAATTACTGATTTCGATGCTGATTCCTAAGCTATAACCGCATAGTCTAGCTGTGATCGTATAATATTTCTGTATATAATTAACAATGTACTCCTTTCTAAACCCCAATTTTTGTGTGCTAGAATTTTTAGTAAATTTAATCTTCTGTAACATTTACATGTTAGATTATTGATATGTTCTTTCCAATTCAGCTTTCTGTCAAAAGTAATTCCTAGCAGTTTTAGCGAATCTTTTTGTTGTAGTGATTGGTTGTATAGGTATAATGAGATTGGTGTACTGACTTTATGTTAAGAAGATAATATATATTTAGTTTTATTTGTTGAAAAGATAAATCCAGTTTCTTGTGACCATTTTTCAATAACTTACAAGAAACTCTGTGCAAGTTGTGAGAGGAAGTTAAAGTTTTTGCTTCGACCAAATATTACGAGATCGTCAGCATATAAGCGGCCTTTAAGTGGAAGTTTTAAATTTTGTAGAGCATCATTGATGACAATTATAAATAGCGTAGGATTTATAACAGATCATTGGGGAATCCCATTTTCTAATTCCACTGTTGACAAGTTACCATTTACTCCAACTTGCATACACCTTTTATATAAGAAGTTTTTTATAAATGCAAGGCAATGTCCTTTAATTTCGAAATCGTACAGTAATTTGATGATAAAGTGGATCTAAGCTGTATCAAAAGCTCTTTCAATGCCGAAGAATACTCCAATACATTTTTGATTAAGGAGGAGGCTTCATGTACACTGCTTTCTAAGTCTATAATATTGTCTAGAATTGATCCATTTTATCGAAAACCACTTTGTTCTGGAATAATGATATTTCGATCTTTAAGTGTCCAGAGGAGATGACGGTTGACCATTTTTTCTAACAGTTTTCATGCAGTACAAGTAAGTGCAATTTGTCTATAAGACTCAGGATCGGTTTTGGGACATTTTGGTTTTAATATTAATATTATAATAAAATCTCTCCACGCTGTTGGAAATTTCTGTTATGTCCAAATAATGTTAAATATGTTAAGAAGATGATTGTGTGTATTCTCAGGTAAATGCTTAAGAAAAAGAATTGGGTAATTATCTGGGCCCTCACTAGTCTCTTTAAATGAGTTAAGTGCATATTGGTATTCATTTATATTAAATTTGGCGTTTAAAGCATCTGTGTCATCTACAAACGGTATAATTGCATTGAATTCTGTGTTCATTTTAAAGTTGATACAATTATTATTATAAGATCTATTTTTAAGATCTAAGTATTAGATCTATTTTTATACGTATTAGCAAATTCTTCTGCTATTTCTAGGTCATCTGTGATTATTCTATTATCTTTCTTTAGTTGAGTGATTTTGTTATAAGCCGGTATTTGAGATATTTTTTTAACATTCTTCCACATTTCAGACATAGGGCTCCTACCGTTTATACTGGACACAAATTGAGACCACGAATTTCTTTTTGAAGTTTTTATTGTTAACCGAGCTTAATCTTTAAAGTTTTTGAAATTATATTTTACTGTTAAGTGTTTTATGTCTTTTGTATTTGTTAAAGGCTGTTTGGAAGCTTCGATATTTGTCTTACATTGTTAATTCCACCAAGGAACTGGTTTATATTTACAGTTTTTTTAATGGTTACCTCGGCTGCATCTAAGATGATGCTAAAGAAGGTTTCGATGTCTTTGTCAATATTGTTGGATATTTTACAGTTTGTCACATTTTTTTCTATGATATCTTTAAATAATGTCCAATTTGGTTCCTTCGTTTTCCACTTAGAGCAGTGCTTTAAATTTTTGGGCTTGAACAAGTTATTGGTGATTATTATTGGGTAATGATCACTGTTATAATTGTAGTCTAATCTGCCCCATGTCAATAATGCAGAGAAGGTATCCCTGTTGTTAAGTCCAAGGGCGTTGTCGCCTGTTTGTATATTGAATCTTGTCGGGCGTCCATCATTCAACACTGATAAGTTATCCTGAACTATTAGTTCTTTAAATATAAGTGCTCTTTTGTCATCATATGTTTTGTAAATTCTGTTATTAGCATTAAAATCACCTGTTAAAATACGCGGAATAGGTATTTGTCCCACGAGGTTAAAAAGGTCCTCTTTAACAATTAGTTGTCCTGGGGGTAAGCAAATCGCGCAAATATTTATTTTTGTGGTCTTCTAGAGAATTAACTACAGCGTCTGAATGTGTTTCTTGGTTACTCTTAAGATTCGTTTTTTGAAGACAAATAATATCTGATAGATACTCTGATTGTCGAAGTTTTAACATCGGTAAGTTACTATAGTATCAGTTTATATTTCACTGAACAATTGAATTAAACGACGCGTGAAAGGTCATTTTCTTTGTTGGTAGAAGAGAGTTTGTCATTTAGGTGTTTTTTGATTTTTTTTTTTAAATTTGGTACATTAGAGTTTAAGAGATCTATCCTATCTACAAATTTAAGAGTTTCCTAAAATTTATTTCTGTTTGTCTTTTTCTGACAGAGCTGGTGTATATGTTGGTGAAGGTGATAGAATCTTATCTATATCACGTTTATGGCTTGTATGTTGATAATATCTGGTAATATAGTACTGTTATTTTCTGGAGGTATTGGTAAGTAATGATTCTTTTCGTTCGGTATGTTCCGGATTTGTACTGTTTGTAAAGGAAGTAGATTGCTGATTGGAAAGTTTTTCCATGGTGTCCACCTGGACACCAAGAAGTGTTAAACGATGTTGAAATAGTTAAAGGTGTGGGTGATTGTTGAGAGTTTGTGGGATTTTTACAATTATTAGCATTATGTATTTGCTGTTTGCAGTTAAAGCATAACTGATTATCTTGGGATAAGAAAATTTGATAGCATGTGATATTATAATTAATCAAAAAATATTCTAGTAAAGGATTTATAACAGGGTTGATAAAAACTTGTCTTCTAAAACTATAAATATGACTGAATTTCGGTAGATTAGAGCTAATAAAAAGCAAGGTCATTGATGACATCAGCTTGAGACCTAGGTTTTCTAATTCGTGAATAAGAATATCATGGGGAATTGAAAGGCATACATTTGATACAACTAATCTATTCGCTAGAATAATATATTTTCTAGCTTGAACTGGTTCATCAGTTATTAGTATTACACCATCATGTACCTGCATAAAGTTATCCACAATTTCTTTGCTCTCTAAATACATGCATACTCGATTATGGGACAGCCCTGAATAAAATAAGATGTTTTTGGGTTGTATAATTGCTCCTAGTGGTATGAGGTAGTCCAATAGGCGTAATCCATCCTTTGAAGAGAAAACGATCGTTATTTCAGGACTAGGGTATGTATGTTGGCTTGGATCTTTTGAGTAGGATTTAACTGTGTTGGTATGTTGTGGTACAGAGCTAATTACGTTGGAACTTCCATCTGATGTTACGGACATGATGAATCCTCTATATACGATTTTAAGAGGACTTTATTTTATATATAGATTAAATCAAATAAAGTCCGACTCTGTTTATTTTAAAATTAGTTGATCGGTTTGGTAATTATCAAATTAGCTGAAAAACGATAAGAGTACAACTAGTTTTTTGGTTAATTTGTAACTACAATTAGTGATGAGAATATGTTATTGGTGCTTAAAAGTGATATTTCTAATCAAACTATGAATAATTGAAAAGAAGTATTTACGGCACTTAACAAATCACTGTAAACTTCTTTAATATATCACTTTTAATTATTTAAATTTATACTTTTTCTTTTAAAAGCTATAAAAAGTCGTGGAGCTTGTATTAGGTCGAGTTTCATGCCTGACATTCAGGGCCGGATCCCGTATAATTGTTTGATTGTTTTGAATTGTGAATATTTTAGTTTACGAATAAAATTTAGTTTTTGTCATTAACATGTGGTGTCTAAGGCTGGATTCAAGAATTGCTGATAGTTATATTAGGTCTTTTTAAAATACCTTATGTACAGCTCATCTGAATTTAAAATAAATTACGCACCTACTCTTTGGCGACTCTGATAGAGTTCCATCCTCCATATTGTTTTAATGTAAGAATGTCTCAACTCAAATCAACTAGAACAGGATGCCAAAGTACATTTAAATGTGTTACTCAAATACAGTGGGTCCAGTGTAAAGTCGGTCCCTTACCAACTATTTTGTAAATTATAAAGCTTAAAATAATAAATCTTTGAATAACCAAACTAAGGTATCTAAATATTTTTTATTGTTTTAGTGACATAATTATTCAAAATCTCTTTTTCATTTTAAAGCTCTTTTGTTATTCAGCATGCATTAGTATTGTATTGCAATTAATAAACGATTTTAAAGATCTTTTGTTATTCAGCATGTTTCTAGATTATTGTACAATTCTCTTTGGATATTCTAAAATGGCGACCATTCAATGATGAATGGTGGCTACATGAAAAAAAAGTATAAATTACTCCTAATCCATACTCCTACCATCCATACAGCCACTCACTTTAGAGTGGTGACACTGATCCCAATAATTTACCATAAAAAGATTTATATTGAGCAGTTCTTTCATTTAGACAAATTTTTCTTTTATTTAGACAAAACGTAGAAATGGACCAGTCGATTGTGCAGACCGCGGAAGGAAAATTAAGGGGATGCATTAGACATACTCTTGATGGTGAAGAGTTTTACGGTTTCCTTGGAATTCCTTACATCAAACCAGCTTTAGGAGACCTACGATTTAAGGTAATGATATATTAAAGTACTATTAATGTATTGATAATGAATTTGTGTTCCTAGGGCATTTATTTGGCCATTTAATTCAACAAAGCGATAGCAGCTTTTGCTAAAAGATTTAATCGTTTACACATTTCGTATAGCCCAGAGGACAGAAAACAATATTATTAAATCGTTTGCGTGCATTGCCGCCAAAGCAGGTGGCACCTCTGTACGCTAACCACTACAGTGGTCAAGTTTTAGAATACATTTGTTGTAATTTCCGAGTTTCACTTTATCAGCCAGAATATCTAATAAGGCAGGGATATATAACACTCTATTGATACCGATTCAAGCACATTAAGTTTAAGGAATTTGACCATTGCTAAGCTTTCGAGTTTTTTTTCTGTGAGGTGGAATCTTCTAAGAGGACCGTCTGGGATCGGGTGTCAGCCCCTAACGAGTAGAACCAGTTGGCAATTAACAGTAACACCATTCATTCGTACTTCCATCAATTCATTCCTGCATTCATACCCTCATTTACTAACTTTGGGATATCGGGACATCCGAATGGAATGGATGTAAAAAGTCTTTTCCCGTCCCATGTCCCGCGGACCCTACAAAGAAATAAGATAAATAAATTAATAAATAAAAATAGATAAAAAAATAAGTTAAAGTAATGTAGATAAAATAAAAATAAAAAATAGCTAAAACTGGTATAGATAAAATATAGTAAAAACGAAAGTAACTTGAATAAATAAAATACAATAAAATAAGTAAATAAATAACACACATTTTTAAAAAACGATAAATAAATATAGCGGTCAGCCCACCTGCAGCCGCCTCTCTTTCTCTTCCTTGTGCTTTATGGTTTTTGTAACGTAAGCAATGATCAGTTCGAAATCGTGCTTGCTGTAGATGGCTTTATCGATCAACTCGTGAGGCTGGCCTAGTGGAGATCCCAGGCTCAGCAGCAGTTCGTTTCGCTTCGCGTGGTATGCAGGGCAGTCGAACACAACATACCACGCATCATCCACCACTCCACACTGAGGACATAGATTATCTCCGGACCTCCCGATTCTATGGGTGTATTTCCGAAACGATCCGTGTCTCGTCAGAAACTGCTTAAAGTAGTAGTTGACGCACCGATACCGACATCCATACCACCTCACTACATCCGGGACTAGAGACCTCGTACAGGCCGCCTTTTTGACTTCGGCTACCCATTTCCTCTGTCACATCTCCAAGCTTCTGGCTTTTTCTTGTGGCCCTGAACCAACCGCCCCGTTGCTCCTCTGATACATTGGAGCTCTCCCTGGCCAGAATGTGCAAGGGTACAGAACCAGCCACCACCTGTAAGGCAATGGTAGATACAGTTCTGTACGCGTAGATATTCTGTATAGGCGACACTGCAGCGATAATGCCAGTACTGTAAATGACTTAAAGAAAAAGAGATCGTAATCGAAGAACTAAGTCTCCTTGTAACTACAGTTGAACAGGATGATGATAATCAGATTTCTGTGGAAAAGATGTGGAATAGACCACAAAGATCGGGGATTTAGCACCAATTTTCTTGTTTTTTTACTTTTACTATTTTTAACAGTATCATGACACACAACACGTGTGTCCTTCATTCCCACATGTGGTAAAAATATTTTTTTCACGTCATTATTGCTATTCCTAATTGTAACATTTTTAACATTTAACATTTTAAAATTGTAAATCTTTAATAGCTGGCCGTTTTTAAAACGAGATATTTAATTTTTTTAAACAAAACTTTTATGATCTCACTAAAAAATTCATTATTTTGGTATTTGAGAATTGGATATTTTTAGAATTGAATACATTTTTTTGTTTCGAAGTATAAAACTTTTAGTAAAATATATAATTATGTAGATATAAGTGAATATTATGAAATGGGAAATGAAAAAAGTTCAAAATCCTGTTAGAATCGTTTTTTAAGGCACACGTGCGTTATTATTTCGTTAGCAAATTCATTTTCAAGAAAAATTTAAATTAGAAAATGGTAATAAATATTAAACAAAGTATTATATTTTCATCAAAAATTTGATATATATTGTTACGACAAATCCGTAAGATTTATCTCACATAGAAAAGTCCCTTGGCGACAAAGAACATTAAAGATGACTTCAAAATTCATGAAAGGCCTAGCGAAGTTTGGAAAGTCTGAAAATATACATAAACAGATGTTTTTGACAGCATGTAACAGCATCTTTTTGAACTTTGAAGTTTAGACTTGTTAATGAATTCTAAATAAGTGTTGTAATTGTTGGTGTTCCAAATAAAGTTGATTTAAAAGAAGTGTAACAGTGGTGGCAGGGTGGGATTGTATAATCATTACTAGTCACTTTTTTCGAAACTTAAAATTTTAATATACATGTAGAGCCTTTTTTTTTGGACTGAGGTGGAAAGGTTTTAAACCGACTAGGGAAAGATGTCCCTAGTACTGTTGGATTCGATCCGGAAAGGAGCACATGCTAGGACATATCATCCAGAGTATGGATTATATGCACCACATGCACCCCTGACCAGTCGCCTACCAACTAAAACCACCCCTTCTTCGGACAAGGCACCCCCGGACGACTTCAATCGGTGAACGAAACATTGAGATGCCTTGTGCAGTCTGAAAATTTGGGAAAAAATTGTAAAAGGGTTCTTACCTAAAAACGATAAGAAGCTCTTAAAATGGTATGCAGCGACGGTATTGTGGGGAAACAAAATATTGGGTCCTAAAAGGTGCAGGTGCGTTTAGCCTGACAAGGAAGGAATGTGAAATAAAAGAGGCATGAGGTCGTGAAAACTACGTACGTAATATAATTACAGATCTGGCTGTAAAAGTGCCGTCTATTCCGTCGTGCATCCGAGTTGTAAAGCACTTATGACAGCGTATTGTATAATTTGTTACCTCATCCACCTTGCTCCTGTCTCGCTCTTTCTAGCGTCTCCTTTTTCTTTATAATTTGCGTAATTATATCGACAGTAATATCGTAGGATTCTTTGTTCTGCGTCGCTTTCTGTATCAGGTTGTTGGGCGTTATCGCTCCTAGCCTTGATATAAGGTTATTCCGTCCTCTTTGGAAAGTAGTGCAAGCAAAAATGCAGTGTTCTGCGTCGTCTATGACGCCACAATTTATACACAGATCATTTGTTGTCTTCTTTATTCTATACGTATACGACCTAAAGGAGCCATGCCGGTGAGAAATTGTGTAAAAAAGTAATTTAACCTTCTGAACCTACATTTAGACCAAGTTACCACATCAAAGATTAACATTTTGGTCCATTGTGCCTTCTCCGTTTGTGCCTCCCATTCATATTGCCATATTTGGAGCATATATGATCTTACTTCGGATTTTATTTCCGGTAAATGACCGTTTTCTCTGTTATATAAAGTATCTCTTTCTTTAGCTAGGAGGTGAATGGGGAGCGTTCCTGTTATGACATGTAGGGCAATCGTAGAAGTAGTCCGGTATGCGCTTGCTACCTTTAGTAGAGGCTTCCTTTGTGCCTTTGCAAGCAGTTCCTTATACTTAGCCATTCTCAAGGCTTCGTACCATATGGGGGCGCCGTATAAGAGTGTAGAGTGCACAATCTGAAGGTACATTCTTCGTTTGAGGGCACTTGGACCACCGATATTTGGCATAATTTTTATTAATGCCGCGGTTCTTTCTTCTGCTCTATGGACTACTTTTATCAGGTGCTTTGTAAATCTTAGACCTGTGTCTAGTTGGATGCCCAGATATTTAGCACAGTACGTAGGCTCTATACTTGTACTACCTACTACAAAAGCCAGGTTTGGGCGGGCTCTAGGGCCTTTCAGGATCAGAATTTCTGTTTTTTCTGTTGCCAACTCTAGATCTTGTTTCACCATCCATCTATTGACTTTTTGACAGCTTCTGTTGACTAACATTTCTAACTCCAAGTTATTGTTACACTGAATAAGTAGAGCTAAATCATCTGCGTATGCAATAGCTTTGGTCTCTGCTCCATAGTCAATCTCTAGGATTTCATTATATAAAGTGTTCCAACGCATTGGTCCTAGTACGGATCCTTGCGGTACGCCTGCTGATATTTTCAGGTCTTTAGGTTTTGCCACTTGGACATACTTTTCATTGAGGTAGTCCTTAATTATATTGATCAAATAATCTGACACGTTTGCTTTTTCCAGTGAGGTGATAATATGACCCCAATTGGCTGAGTTGAATGCGTTTCTCACGTCAAACATCACGAGGGCAGCCCATTTCTTTCTCGTCCTTTTTACAGTGTCAGTTATTTCTTTTACCGCATCGATGGATGATCTAGATTTTCTGAATCCGTACTGTTTGTCAGATATACTTCCATTTATCTGTAATTCATCTTCTAGGCGATTTTTAATAAGATTTTCATAAAATTTCCCCAGACTGTCTAGAAGGCAGATCGGCCTGTATGAGTTGGCAGTCTCGAAGTCCCTGCCCGGTTTAAGTATTAACGTCAGTCTTGCCTGTTTAATCATTATGGGAAATATTTGCTTCTGGAGGAGTTCATTGAAGATCCTCCGAACCATCTCAGGATTTTTCTCTATGATGATCTTTATCGCCTCAGGAGGCACACCGTCAGGACCAGCTGCTCTTCCTAATTGAATACTTTTTGTCGCTATTGCTATTTCTTCAGCCGAAAAAACAACAGGTCGAACGTTGACGTTATTTTGAGTGAACTGTTGTGGGGGCTTAGCAGGAAATAGAGTATTAGCTATTTCCTTCCGTTGTTTTGCACAAAGGCTGTATGGGGTCTCTGTTCTTAATATTTTTATGGCAATTCTATAAGCTTCGCCCCATACATCATCTTCTAATGCTGCTCGTAGGTTATGCCAGCAGGAGTGCTTCGCCCGTTTAATTTCTCTGTCCAATTCTTTTTTAGCTCGCTTGTAATTTTCAGTGTGTTGTGGAGTCCTATACCTTTGTGCCGTACGTCTGAGTCTAAAACATTCGTCTCTCTTGCTCTGGATCTCATCGTTCCACCAGTATGGCACTGTATACGTGACGTTTTAGGTGGAGCTACTTGAAGTGTATGCATTAATAATTTTCTGTCTTAAATCTTGGAATTCGGTAATGTCGTCTTCTTGTAAGTTACTTATCTGCCTCGTATAAGCTTCTTTATTAAAGGTTACTTTTTTCCGACCGATCTTCGAGACCTTGATGTCAGTTTCAAAGACTATGTATCTGTGAAAAGTGTAGAGATTATCCTCCAACACCTCCCAGCCCGCAATCTTTCTGGCATAACTTTCATTCACAAGGGTAATATCTATGTGACTTCGACTCTCACCTCTCACAAATGTGGGTTTTCCATTATTTAGCACTACTAGGTCATTTGCGAATATCCAATCATTCCACATCTCCCCTCTATGATCATTTCTGGGAGACCCCCATATGATTGATTTGGCGTTCACGTCGCCAGCAAGTATAAAATCCCGATATGTTTGTGATGCCATTATAATATTCTCGACCTGTTCTTTGTAGCACATCAGGCGGATATTCGGAGAGATATAGCAGGCAATAATAGCCAGGCTTCCTATTTTAATTAACACGTGCCCCTCTTTCTTGACAATCTTATTTATGCATACTTTCTTATTCATTAGGTATATAGCGACATCTGCGTTTATATCCGCTATCCAGCCTTTGTTTTTAGTAATGTTTTTGTTAGGCTCAGGGACAACAAGTAGGTCTGCTCCAATCTCGAGGGCTTTTGCTTATATCAGTTGGTGTGCCATTTTCGCCCTCCCGATGTTAACTTAAAGTATCTTTAGTCTTTTTGTCCCTTGTGCAGCCATTTCAAAATCCTACCCTTGCCTTGTTTTTTTTTACTAGGAACTAGGGGGCTTCCGTAGCTGGGTCCGGCGATTGCTCCACCGCTCGTGGTGCTTGGACTTGATTCTTCTCAGAATTCCGAATTATTTGAAGTGCAGTCCTGAACTTAGGGCAGTTCGTGGTGCCACATCTGTGAGGTGCATCACAGAGGACGCAACTAGCCGTCGACTAACATGATTTAGATTCGTGTCCCGTTTTACCGCAGTTAAAACAGGACCCACTCCTGTCCGGCCCATTACAGTTATCTAGGGTGTGATCGTAGGACCAACACCTGAGACATCTAGGCACCCTCAGCCGTTTTTCTAATTTGCAGCGTACCATGCCGACTCGCAGGTACTCTCTCTGGAGGAGAATTTCCGCAGCTGCCTTAGACAATATAACTGAGGCTGCCCGCGTATTGCCTCTGAAAGGTCTCATTTCTGAGACCTTCCAGGATTCATCCCATGAACCAGTCTGCGCCATAATAGCTTCTCTTAGCTGATCTTCTCTGGTGTCTAGCTCCATTCCTTTGACATGGATAGTCATCAGCCTCTCCACACCCAGCTGCAGGGTGTATGTACATGCAGAGCCTGGCTTTAGCTTAAGTACTTCAAACTTTTACGAGCAAACTCGTAGATAGTTTCGAAGTTTTCTTTAAAATTTTCAATATACGTCAGCGATGAATGTTCTTCTTCGTAGCGAGAAAATCTTTTGAAAATAAGGTCTTGAGGAAGTTTCATTTCTCTTTCGGTGATCAGCATCGTTAGAGAATAACCACAAACATAATAATTTATGCTCGGATTTTTTATAGGCTAACAGGAATGAAGTAATTAAAGGATACCAATATTTTTGATTGTCAGCGACAAACATTGAAAGATATTGACAAACACTCTCAATATCTTTCAAAGCAAGCCACTCAACGATAGATCACTCAATTTTCCTTGATGTAGCGCAGGCTTTTGACAAAGTGTGGCATGACGAATTATATCATAAAATGAGATGCTACTTACCAAAACAATATTCAGAATTACTAGAATCATATATCTCTATACCGGCGATATTCCATCATTAGAACCTAACATAATTGCGATATTTGCAGACGACACATGCATTCTAGCAGTAGGACAACACCACGATGATGCAGCAACCATGTTATAGAACTCTGTTGAACAAATTAACATCTAGACCAGCAGATGGCGTATCAAATTAAATGCAAAAAAATCTGTTCATGTCAATTTTACTAACAAAAGGGAATAACATCCCAGTTAGTATTATTATTAGAAACCAAATTCCTTATGCATATACGGCAAAGTATTTGGGTATGGCATAAAATAAAGGATGAATTAGACATTAAGTTTAAAAATATGTACTGGTTGATGGGAAAAAATCCACTCTGTCTACTTACAACAAATTTTTATTTTACAAGCAAGTCATTTAACCAATATGAACATACGGGATACAGCTATGGGGCTGTACAAAAAGAAGTAACATCCAAATTATACAACGATATCAGAATAAATTATTAAGAAACATCGCTAACCCTCCATGGTACTTTAGAAACTGTGATATTCATCGAGTCCTCCAGATGGATACGGTTATCCAGACAATAAGTAAGTTTATAAGTATATAACTGAGACAATAAATAAAGTAAGTTTGCCGAGACTCATGAACAAAGGCTATTCAAGTACGTGAATGTCGAGGTCATCAAACTCCTAGACAACGCAAACCAGATATAAAGACTTAAGAGAACGAAGCCATTTGAGTTAGTGCTATAAAGTAAGTGAAAGTGAAAAAGCAGACCAAAGTGCGGCTAAATAGTACACGTTAGTTAGTAGTACTATATTGTATTAGAGCCTAAGGAATATTGCAGAATGTAACTTTGGATAAGTTTTTTGAAATATTTTGTATATATAACTAACTTTCTTATTGATCATAGATCAGATAGCAACAATCAAGATTTATATTTGAGTTTTATTAAAAAAAAATTAAGTAAAAAGTAAAAATTCGATATCTTTTGTGATAAATTTGACAACTTTTAAAGTACTAACAATCACACGTCCTGAAAGAGGTTTTCACGAAAGCGTTATTGAGTAAAGTTTTGAACGTATTTGTACAATCCAAAAGAAGCATCTTTAAATGTTTTAGATCGTTTGGAATGTGAAAGTGTAAATTCAGTGATTTTTAGGCATATTTCAAATGACTGATATTTTTGCCAAAACTTAAAACCGAAATTTCATGGGATAGGTTAGTTCATGGGTGAATATAGGTTCATAGGGCGAAAGCTCCACCATTCAACTTTAAAACGCATTTGGATTTTTGTCCATTAGCTTTCTAATTAAGAGATATCGAATTTTATCGATATAATTTTATTTTTTTAAATTGATTGTGCGCGCGTAACTGATATTTAAAATCACAGGTCGCTTCAAGTGTTATTTCTGAGAGAACGGATAATTTTACACAAAGTGTTAATAAACATTTTTGTTTAAAATTATTTCAGCTAAATTTTTTATTTAAAATACTTTTTTCTACGTCATAAAAATTTTTGATAAATCGATTTTTTCCGTTTACCTGCTCTACAAGGAAGTGTTTTAATGGGTGAAAGCAGTAAACTTTTTGTGCCTTTTTTGGGGGTCCCAAAATTGACATTCTTTGCAAAATTTAGCTTGTTCGTATGATAGTTAGAGGTTTAGTGGTATTTCATCTCTGATGACTGGAGTATATTGTGACAACGAGCTACGGAAAGGTCAATGTTGAAATAAACGTTGAGATATAGTTTTTCTAAGAGAAAGTATATATCTAAAGAGTCAGAACAAAGATTATAGATGCTCTAAAAATGAGAATACACATAAAGCGCAGCTAAGCTAACCATGTGGCGAAAATAAATGGCTCTAAGAGATTAAACGCATAATAGTGTGGCGCCTTAGATTTATGGTACATAGAGGTAGGGGTAGGCATTCAATATGGTGGAAGAAAGTTTCAACAAAAATTGGATTAATTAGATTTACACTGACTTAATACTGGATTAATACAATATCGGGAGCACTTTAAATAACTGGAAAAGGTCTATGTTCAGCAGTATATAATACAGGCTGTGATAATAGTGATACTTAGATTATTAATAAAAGTTCATCCTTTGTAGTTATTGGAAATGTCGTTGATCCACTTAACTTTGTTTGAATAAATGCATGATCGTCGTTGCTCGCTTAGAAACAAAATTATTTAAAGTAATTTTTATATCTATAAAAAGAAAAAGCAGCACATTTGGGGTTAAAACTAAACAAAAGCACTTGTTTCAGGCTCCGCAACCTCCAGAACCTTGGATCGGCATTAGAGATGCTACAAAAGTGGGCAGTCCAGTTTTTCACAAAGAAACTTTTACCAAATCTTTTCTTGGCAGCGAGGATGGGGTCAATCTTAATGTTTATACTAAAAAGGTAAGCAGATTTTCATTGTATTAAATTTTACATTAATATCAAATCTAGTCATATATTGTTCTGAAGCTATTTTTTTGTGGCATCTTAAAGCGATCACTATTTTAAGGGCAGTCACAATTAAATTATAAACTAAGTTTAATGAGGTCCTAATTTCGACTTCGGAAATCGTTTTCAAAATACAAACAATACTAAATTAAACAAATTTTTTTTTTGTTACTTGGTGAAAAATTGTTCTAATAATTAAATTTTATCAAACTCATTTATAATGACAATTCAGACATATAATATACATTTTAAAGTAGACGACTTTAAAATTTGCATTGCTGGGTTGCAATCCTGGACGACTTTATTGTAAGATAGTTAAGTCGATTACATGAAATTAACTTTAACTTAGGAATATTCGTCAAAAAGATCATCCATGTGATTCGTCTTTAAAAAGACAACCACATGCCATGATGAATGCAATAAAACCATGCAATATATGCAATAAAACATGAGAAAAAAATCAGGAAAAAACCTTGTAATACTATCCCGAAGTGGTAAGTGTTTGGTCATATATAAGTTTACTCTCAATAAACCTTAAACTCTGATTTTATGTGTATGATATTTAAAAAACATGAATGATGTATCATCGATACGTTACTGACTTAATTATTTGTGGAGGAGAAGGTGGGAATATGAGCCCTACTGGTAAGTCGGCCCCCGAGTGAATCTGTCACTTCCGCCAATGCCATTGTTGATTTATGCTTGATACTACATCTATCTTTATCTATCGAAACTTCGCACTCGAGAACTACCGCGTTTAGCCTTTAGTCGTCCTACAAAGCTCGCTTCATTAACGTGCTTAACAAAACTTTTTGCCGTTCTTGTGTTTATGTTGTTTTTTCGAAAAAACCAGTTATAAACATTATATTTCTCTGATTAGTGTATAGAAAAACCATTGAATATCGACAAAGGTAACTATGAACATTTTGCAATAGATATGAATTGTTTTTGATATTTTGTTTATAATGTAACTATTGCTTTAATATGGCACCCTGAATGTGTATGCATTATGGACCCGGGTCCATATTACGTACACATTGAGGGGGCCATATTACATGTTTTCACTTTATTATTTTTAGATGCCTCGTACTATTCTTTCTACTAAATCTGAGAAAAAAAAAATTGTGGAGTGCTAACGACATGAAAATGGCAGTAGTGGCTGTTCGTAATAAGCATATGAGTTTTAAGAAAGCAGTCAAAACATTTGCTGTACCAAGAACTTTAAAAAGGCTAGTTCTTAACTAAAATTCTGAGTTATCATTAGATCTCTTTTGCAAATGGAGCGCACCTTTTATGGACTTACTCGCTTGGATGTTAGGCGAATGGCTTATCAATTAGCAGTCAGAAGCGTCCAGAATCCGTATGAAAATGAAAGCAGGCAAAGCATGGCTCAACCGATTCTTAAATAGACATAAAAAGCCATGATCTCTCAGAAAATCAATGGGAACAGCTTACGCTAGAGTACAAGGATTTAATCGTCCAGCAGTTAAGGAGTTTTTTTTAAACTGTTAGAGGTTGAATATGCAAGAAACAATTATTCACCCGACCGTGTCTGTAACGTAGATGAAACTGGAATTTCTTCTTCTCTTCTTTCAGTACCCTGTCCGAATATCGAACTTTGGCGATCATATTGGCAATAATAACTTTATTTACGGGGGCTCTAAATAAATTAGCGGTGGTTGCTTGATACCATTCTCGGAGATTTTGGAGCCAGGATGTTCTTCGTCGGCCTGAGCCTCTCCTTCCGGCGATCTTACCATGTATTATGAGGTGTAGCGGTTTATACCTCTCTGGATGTCTCATTATATGAACGAAATATTGTAACTTTAGAATTTTTATCGTTTTTTTATTTCTGTGCTCGTTTTCATTCGATGTAAAACTATTTCATTTCTTAATTGATCAACTTATCTTATCCGCAATACTCGTCGATAAATCCAAATCTAAAAGGCCTCTAATTTTTTCATTAATGTCTTTGTAAGGGTCCAGCTCTCCATACTATACAGCAATGTGGAGACTATGTAGCAGCGTATTAATATGATTTTATGGTTTAACGTAATATCTCTATTAATTAGATTTTTTTTTTAATTCATAGAAGAAGGCTCTGGCTTTTTTAAATGCGTATTCTTATTTCTTTATTTATACCCAAGTTATAGTTAACGTTTGCACCCAAGTAGGTAATATTGTGGACTTTTTCTGGACTTACAATCGTGCAATTCAAAGTACCGCTAGTAATAGGACGAAAAGGTAGAAGGCAAATAGGGGCATTAACTGCAGCAGAACGCTCTTTACTTACTACGATCTTTACTGACGCAATGAGTGTAGGAGGAACTTTCATCGCACCAATGTTAATTTTTCCAAGAAAAATTTTTACAGATCTATTAAAGAAAGGGTGTCCGCCAGGAGCAATCGGAAAAGTACAGCCTTCTGGTTGGATACAAACCAATTTATTTTCTGAATGGTTCAATCATTTTGTATCAAAGACCAATCCAACAGAGGATTCTTTTGTCCTTCTTATACTCGATGGACATTACAGCCAAACTCGTAATGTTGATATTCTAGAAGTTTCTCGTGAAAAGTATGTCATCATTATCAGCTTGCCTCCTCATACTACGCACAAGCTGCAACCGCTTAAAAAAACATTTATGAGTGCACTTAAATTTCATTATAGTGAGGAAGTAAGAAAATTTTTGTTACATTCTGATAGAATGCTTAAGCAGCATGATATTGCTGAGTTATTGGGTAAAGCTTACTTAAAATGTACAACAGCTAAAATCGCAGTAAATAGTTTTAGAGTGACTGGAATATATCCCTTTAATCCTCAAATTTTTCAGGATGCTGATTTTCTAGTAGAGTCACAATCGCTTCAAATGGAAAAGGAAAATATATCATTGAGTACAACTTATTCGATAATTAATCCCCTAAGCTATCTGTCGAAACTGCTACATTAACTGTAGAATCTTCTCTCCAACCCACTACATGAACTGTTCCTGAATTCTCAATTTAACTGAAGTCATATGATCCAAGCACGTCAACATCAGATTCAGTATCTCTTCAACCCAAATCATCTAAAGAGCATGGAAGACTGCTAACTATAAAGCCTTCTGTCTTCTATTCAAAAGCAGGAACATCACCAGCTGTAAACCCTTCGCTTATACTACCTCATCAAATTTCACCAATACCCAAGCCTAAAATAAAAAGCTCAAATCGAGGAAGAAAATCAACAAAAGCCACTGTAATTACATCATCGCCTAATAAATTTAAATTAGAACAATCTCTTAAGAAAACTGAAGACCGTAGATAGCGTTTTGGACGCGGAAGGGGACAAACACGAGGTCAACTTTGCAAAAAAGCCCAAGAGGAAGTTCGAAAACGTATTATTGTCGAAGATTGATTCTGACACCGACAAAAGTGATCTTTCCGATATTGAAGAGGATACAGATTTCCAACTAAGTTCACAGTGTTCAATTCGTGATAACGACGACGACCTATGCATCATTTGCGCGGAATCTTATTCAAGTAATAGCAGAGGGGAATTTTGCAGTGTCATAGCTGTCTTTTGTGGGCACACAGTGAATGTGCCAGTGCGGAAACTGAACATTATATCTGCGATTTCTGCCGATAGATTTTTAGATTTCGTTAATATGGCCCCCTGGAGGCCATATTAGAGTGACGTTTTGGTTTTTCATACTATCCTAGATACTGATAAGAATATTTTTTGTATGTTAGAACTTGATTTTTCTTATATTTTTTAATAATACTGTATTAGTATTAGACTAATAGTTATGTGGACGAAAATTAAAATTTCAAAATGTTGATTGATTATAATCTCTAATCGAAAAACAAATTAAGGGGCCATATCCCCACCTTCTCCTCTGGTATTTTCCTTTTATTATCTTTCTCTTTTAATATGAGTAACCAGATATTAGCATTAGATAATGAGCATTAATTAAAAGAAATAATTAGAGTCTCTTCTTTAATTTTTATCTTTTCACTATTTGTTTATTTTAGAACTATACTTGAATTTCTATTTGTAATATAAGATTGATGGTCACTTATTCTAACATTTAATGGTCTTGATGTTTCACCTAAATTAAACTAATCGCAGTTACAAGATATTTTATAAATACAATGTGTTGGGATAAAATAGCTTGTTTGGATAACTCGCCTGCGTAAAAATTGATACACTAGTTTCCACTTAATTTTTACTTAAACAAACTTAAAAAAAAAAACTCATTACAAAAAGTGTACTTCTACTCTCAAAAATAAAGTCCTAATAAATATCGTTTGGTATTTTTAAAATTAAATGAGGTGGTAGGTAACTTGTCGGTAATATTTTCTAACGCTAAACAATCAACTGAATTGAAATCGCTTGTACAAGAAGATATATTTAGCTTAACTCGATTATTTAACTTGGATACTGCTTGCCATACTTTAATTATTTTAAAATTAATAAACTCCATACATATATTAAATTTTTTACAAAATCTCCTTGTTACAAAATTGCTTTGTGATCCATTGTCTAACAGAGCCCTACACGTATGTACATTGCCTTGGCTGTCCTTAATATTGACCAAGGCTGTTGACAGAAGAACTTGTGGTGTCATAATTTTCACGCTAAAACAAGTATGACAACTTTCTACTAGTGTATTGTTATGATTTTCACATGTACTTTGTAATGTTCGATTGTCATTGTTAATAGTTCTACAATTATCTCTAGATTGTTTATGATTATTATTTTCCCATGTATTTTCGCTAGATGCCCCAGTATCCCTAGAACTATCGACATGCAGTAGACTGTTTGCAAGCTTTACAACCTGAATGCCTACAACTCATAATGTCATGTCCCGGTCTCAAACAATTCTTACGTAGATTTAATTTACGAATCTCAGGTAACCGCATAGCTAGGGATAAGTTTAAAAACTTTTTACATCGAAAATAGTATGTTTTTCTTTACA